TTCTTATGGATCATGCAACAAGTTTCTAAGATAAATAAAGATGTTAATGTTAATATTTCTTGTTTTAAGAACAGCGGTCTGCATGAAACTAATCTGTGTGCTCCACATAAGAACCTTATTGCCCGTTTCTGCATTATAAAGACTCTGTCAAATAACTCGGCAGAACAGACTCCCCAAAACTGAACAGCATAACGTAGATGGGAGTCAACTAACGCATAATATGCAGTTTTTGCTGCACAAACTCCCAATTCATGAGAGGTGGTTCTAATGGCATAACAACCCGATGCGAGTTTTTTTAAAAGTGAATCCACATGAGATTTGAATTTCAAATCCATGTCGATATTTAAACCCAAAAATTTTGTACAGTTTGTGGCTTCTACAGTATCCATATCTATTAAAATATCAGGAACATTACATTTAAAGGTTAGTATTTTTGTTTTTTTAAAATTTAATGACAGAAAATTTGCAGGATTTTAGGTCATTACTAATATTTGCATAAAGAATATTGACGTCTTTATTGTGCCACAAGATAGTAGTATCGTCAGCAAATAGAGTGAAACTTCCTGAGATATTTAACTTACCTAAATCATTGATATAAATTAAAAACAGGGTGGGCCCAAGAATAGAACCTTGAGGGACACCCCATTTTATGTCACTTGTGTTCGAGTCTGAAACAGTTTGGACTAACTGTTTGCGACCTAAAAGGTAGGATTTCATCCAACTCAAGGCCACATCTCTTATGCCATAAATTTCAAGCTTTTGCAGCAGTACTCCATGGTTGACACAGTCAAAAGCTTTAGTCAGATCACAAAATACTGCAGCTACGGCCTCGTTGAAATTTAAACTTGTATAAGCTAATTCCAAACAAGAAGAAACAGCGTCCGATACGTTTTTGTTGTGTTGAAAACCGAATTGATTTATGTCCAATATATTATTTTGGTCTAGATATCTAACTAGTCGAGTTTTTACAATTTTCTCAATAATTTTTCCGAGTGTCGGAATTAGAGATATGGGCCTAAAATTAGATGGCTCAGTCAAGTCTCCTCCCTTATATAATGGAACCACAACACTTGTTTTAAGAAAAGGAGGAAAAGTACCTTCAATAAAACTTTTATTTATTAAAATGGATAAAACGTCTAATGCAGAGGTAGGTAAGTTTTAAAATATTTTTACTGACATTCCATCATGTCCTGATGCAGTTTTGTTGTGTATGTCATTACAAACTTTTAATATTTCTGAGGAATTTGTTTCTCTTAAGAAAAATGAATATTTAATTGGTGACGATTTTACAAATTCTAATGGGTCAGTTGTTCTATTTAGATTTTTTGTTAGATTTTCAGCGATATTGCAATAAAAAGTATTGAAATCGTTAGGATTTATATTTGCATTGCATGATTTATGGGTACTTTTGCCTCTCAATTCATTAATAATAGACCAAGTTTCCCTTGCCTTATTTTTTGAGCTCTCGATTCTTGTATGATAGTACATATCTTTAGCTTTTCTAATAAGTGTTCGATATAAAGATCTGTAGCGATAATAATAGTTTAAAAATAAATTATTTTGCGTACATTTTTTTATATAGTTGAGAGATCTCATATTTTTTGATGAACATCTTAAACCAGCTGTAATCCACGGCTTTTTTGGCTTAATTTTTATTTTTTGAATAGGGAAAGACGCATTAAAAAATTTGCTTAAATTTAAATAAAAATCGTTAAAAGGAGATATACCAGTAAAGCAACTGTACCAATTAAAATTTTTACATACTAAATGAAATTTTCCATAATTAGATTTACTAAACAATCGACCATGACGAGAATTAGTCTTAGGAAGCTTATGCTCAAGAGATATCGAAGCAAAAACGGCTTCATGATCAGACAGACCGCTGGGATTCACTGTACACGATATATTAGCAGGTTCGTAAGACGTACAGAAATAGTCAAGTAACGTTTCGGTACATTCCGTTATCCTTGTTGCTTCCTTAACATGCATACTTAAGTTAAAGGAAATTAATAAATTTTTTAATCTAATAGTAATATTATCATCATCCTTGAGATAATCTATATTTAAGTCACCTGTCAAAACTATTTTAGATGTTGTAGAAAATCTACTTAGCAAAGATTCCAAATTGTTTAAAAAAACTGAAACATTTGAATTTGGTGATCTATAGATACAAACAACATAAATATTAAATTTAAGAATAGAAATAATGGAAAACTCAAATTGTTTTTCCTCTAAAAGTTCAGGATATTCTACAATCTTAAATTCCAAAGTATGAAATATGGAATCATGTATTAAGATTGCTGTACCCCCGTGTTCATACAGTTCTCTGCAAAAAATAGTTATTAAGTTATAATTTGGAATAAATAAATGTTCATCTTTTTCAAGCCAATGTTCCGTTAATAATAAAATGTGAGGGAAACAGTAATCTTCTATTAATAAAAATAAATCATCAACTTTATTACGAACAGACCGAATATTTAAAAGTAAGAACGTTAAGGAGTCAACGGGATTAATGGATGGACTACATCTAAAAAAGAACTATTAGGTTCTCCTAAGTCAATAACAATAGGCTCAGTGTTTTCTACATATTCAAATTCATTGTCATTTGGTAAAATAACTTTTAAAACTAAATTTTGGTTTATTTTCGTATTCTTATGTAAAAACTTATTTACCATTCCTCTAATTGACAATTTAATATTTGTCACATTAGGTACATATGTTATGGACGTATTTCTAGTAACAGTGACTTCACAATCCTGCAGATGTTGACGTTATCCGAGTTCCTAGTTTCCAGGATACCGCTGATTAGGACTTATCATTTTATCTAGTTAAAAAAAATTCATATATTATAATTGTATCAATAGGGTTTAGCGTTGCACATTATTAATTCAACAATAACTAAATAACATATTATTGTTTTTCTAATATAGTACTTGAAGACCTAACATTTATTTTAATACCTATTAATTGTTAATAACTGCAAACACTTGGAATTAAAATCCGTGAAAAACTGACCAGCAAACCATGACACCCCATATCTGAGTGTCTATCAATCCATGTAAAAGCCTAACGAGTGTAAATGTGATATAACACGCTGGTGCCCTTCATCTAGAACAGAATTACACGGTTGGATAACTTTTATTACGATTATTTAAACATTTGTTTTATCTAAATAAAGAAACAAATCGAAGTGAAAAAGTACCACCCATGTATATGGAATTTACTAAGCAAGGAGGATCCCACAGAATTTTATGCCGCAATTTTTGGTAAACCGAACAATTACTTGGTTAGATTCTCTTACGGATGCCGAAGATAATTGCGATTATTTCGATAAAATAAATTATGTCATTGATTGTTTCATTGTTTTTTTTTTCAAATTGTAAAGATGAAGAGTAAAATAATTTGTTGTATTAAAAATAAAATAATAATATAATTCCTGATAAGAGATTGTTGCGATTAACAGTGAAAATGTTGTGTAGTTTTGTTCTACAAAAGTATTAAAAAGTCGGTAGAATGTGTCAGATTTTAAATATGTCAATGTCATTAAAATGCCTTTTTTATCTCATTTGTAAATCTATCAAAAACGGGATACTGCAAACACAACCAATAAAACAAAATAATTAACTTTAATGGACTTTATTGCTTATAAGTAAAATCGATTCCTCTGTTTCTATTGGTTGAAAAATTATTTACATTTCTCTGGGGGGTGCACGTCCGCATGTGCTCCTATAGACGAGCCGGACCTGTTATTAATATTTTAATAATTAATATTAATTTAACAATATCTTATCATTTATCATGTTACATAATTTATCACTTTTTACAGAATATAAAGGATCAGATCCTGATTCAGATAAGACAAAAACAACCTCCAAGCTCAACCTCATTAAGTTTGTCTGTTTTTGGTTTGTCAGTGTCACCAATCTTTAAAAAACACAGACTTTGCTAAAGGAATCTTTTATTTAAAATTCGCTTTAGAGTTTCTTTAAATGAATCAATTATATCTGGAATGGGCATAAAAATAACTAAAACGTATACATAGGAGTTGGCAATTTAAAAACTTACAATGGCTATATCATGATATTAGAAATTAAAACCTAATAAAAACAATTTATTTTATACTTCTTGGCAAAATAAATATTTAAAAACAAAGTTAATGATTTAATATTTATCCCTTATATGTAAGAAATAGTCCAGGGTAGTTAGGAAAAATAGCGGAAATTTTTAGGGACAGCAGATATCGATATGCGCTTTTCTGTAGTGTGTTCAGGAAGGTCCCAGGAAAAAAGTCTATATCGTCTGGTTTAGCCATTTTTTGAAAAATGCCTTCTGTGCCGGAAAATGATTTTCCAATTGCATCATTACTAGGAACGACTGGAAACTCGGAAAAATCGCTCGGAAATTGTTACTAGAAGGTTTTCAGAATTACTTGGGGGTGGCTCTGTAGGGGGGGGGGTTGAATTGGGTGAAAAATGGCAGCGTGTATGAAAATCGTTCCAATGTCGTTATTCGGGGGTTTTGGGGGTTTTGGCGGTTTTCGGGGATGCCGAATTCAATTCTAGCATTGGAATCACCCGGGGGCGACTCTGCGGGGGTATCCGGGGGGTCATTCTTGGGGGAAATTGCATAGTCCATGGGAAGCGCTCCAAACTCGTTACTCTGGGGTTTTCGGAGATGCCGAATTCAATTCTAGCATAAGATTTCCCTGAGGGCGCTCGAGGGTGGCTCTGTGGTGTTCTCTGGGGGTGATGGGGGGGGGGGGGGGGGGGGGGTAGCGTCCATGAAAATCACTCCAAAATCGTTACTCGGGGGGTTTCGAAAATACCGAATTCAATTCTGGCATTGAATTCCCCGGGGGCGCTCGGGGGTGGCTCTGGGAAATGGTGAAGGAGAAAGTGAAAAATCACAAATTATGAAAATAGTATTTTATTCAAATAATAAATAGGAGATTTTATTAATGTTAAATTATTCTTTATAAACTTAAATTTTTATCTTAAATACTAAACATCTTGTTCAAACCTCTTTTCTTTCCCTTCTTCACCTTTTTCATCTTCTTCCTCGTCACTATTCTCGGCCCTGTTGGCAGTGTCTTTTTTGGTTTGAGCAATTGCCATCGCAATGCTTGCATGCAAGTGAGCTTTCCAACCCTCTTCGGCGCACTCGCACCTCGTGCCACAGTCGATTTCACAAGAACAAGAAATTTTGCTTAAAATTTTCTCGGAACCGGCTTCCTGGGACATGGTGACAGAACTGAGCTCTCCATCCACCAATTCCCACCCCCATTCTAACGGATCTAAGGTCTCGTCTTGACCTTGCTTGGAAATAGACTGTACTTGGAAATAGACACGTTTGATATGCTCGGTTAACGCATTGGCAGTCGGGATTATGAATACAAGATCGACTTTTTTAGAATTGGTGGCTTCAGCATACATTTTTGCTCGATAACTTTAAACGAGCTCAATCGCAACCCCACAGTGCCACCTCCGAGCGCCCCGGGAAAATCTAATGCTAGAATTGAATTCTGCATCCCCGAAAGCCCCCCGAGTAACGAGTTTGGAACGGTTATCATGGATTATGCAATTTCCCCCAGAATGACCCCCCGGATACCCCCGCAAAGCCACCTCCGAGCGCCCCCGGGTAATGTCAATGCCAGAATTGAATTCGTCATCCCCAAAAACGTCCGAGTAACGAGTTTGGAGCGATTTTCATGCACGCTGCCATTTCTCCCCAATTCGTCTTTTCCTCACCCCTACTTTCGGGTAATTTTAATGCCAGAATCGAGTTCAACAGTCCTGAAAACCTTCTAGTAACGAATTCCGAGCGATTTTTCCGAGTTTCCAGTCGTTCCTAGTAATGATGCAATTGGAAAATGCATTTTCCGGCACAGAAGGCAATTTTTAAAAAATGGCTAAACCAGACGATATAAACTTTTTTCCTGGGACCTTCCTGAACACAATGCAGAGAACCGCAAGTCGATATCTGCTGTCCCTAAAAATTTCCGTTATTCCGGTCGATTTTGATCTAAATGCCCTGTCTGTCTTTCCGTCTGTCTCTCTCTTTCTTTCCGTTTGTCTACCTAAGATCCTTTTGGCCATTTTGCTAATTTTTCTTTTCAAAGCATATAATTAAAAATTGAAAATTTAAAAAACCCGATTTCAAAATCGTGCAGATGCCATCACCACATCTTAACCAAATTTATATGGGTCCACCCTTAAAATACCCCCTTTCTAGCAAAAAAAGAATTATATAAATCGGACAAAGTGGTAAAGCATTATCGCTAACATACATAAAAAAATTAAGAGTTTGAGAATTGTCTCATGGACCCAATTATTAGATTTTGACCAAATTTATATGGGACCACCCCTAAAGTACCCTCTTTCCAACAAAACAAGAATAATTAAAATAGGATACCGTGTTAAAGAATCATCGCTGAACATACATAAAAAAAAAATCGTGACGAATTGAGAACCTCCTCCTTTTTTGAAGTCGGTTAAAAATGAAAATAAGACGTCAAATAAAATGTCATTTATCACAAATACGCGCGTTATTTAAATTCGCCAATCATAAATTGTCGTGTTCCTAACTTACCAATCATAACGCGTCGTGTATCTAACACCAAAGGGGTTACCCCCTTAGTACATAACAAACCCATTTGAGTAACACCTCTAGTCTTATATGCTCTATTCAAAATAATATTCAAAATAAGCCTGTCCAGGTGTCAAAAATCGCCTGTCCAGGTGTCAAAAATCGCAAACGAGTCGCAGTCATAGCCCTCAGAAAGTCTAGATACCGCTTGGCGTATACTGTCAATACAAAAAAATGACCCCATTCAAGCTTGTCGCCATGTTAGGTAAATTTATGTTTTGGCTACACTGATTTTTAGTTTGTGTGTTCTGTAATACGTGAACACCGATAATCTGCACTTTGTTATTAGTTATAAGTGAGTGAGACGCACAATTTCTAATTTCAAATTAAGAACAAAACTTTGACAAACCTATTTGATTTTCCTAGATCTGTTCAGACAGGACCGGTTTTATAAAATTTCTTGTTCTTGAAATGTTATTTTTACATGGTTATATATTATTGGATAAGTGGTTTGTGTACATATTGCTGAGAATTATAGAGAAATTCAGTGAGATTTATGTAATATAATTCAAATTACAAGTAAACCATCTGTTCCTGTTTGGCAATATGGAGAAAATACCTACTTCAATGTCAAATGTACTATTTAAAAGAATGTGATTGTTAACCGGTCATTTATTTATATTATATTATGAAAATAAAAACTCGAATTTTTTAACTAGGGAAAGATATATTTACATCGGTAACAAGGTATTTTTAGAAAAACTAATAGATTACTCCTATTCCTATAGTTTATTTGAAAATGAATAATAGCAAAATTATATAAAAATATGGACCTTTGCCATAAAAACTGTGCTACCAAGCATTTTCAAATAAACTATAATGATAATTTGATTTAATAGAGCGAGTATAAGATCTCACCTGTTAGAGAAATTGGGGCATAGGGAAGAGATTATGAAGCAGGTAAGCGAAGTCATTGCAAAAGATAAATATATAGAAGTTATTTTAAAAATTTGATAAAAAACTAGTGGAACAAGAAATGGAGTTGTCGCTATCGGAGATCCAATCAGCAAAAAGTAAAAAAAAAACTTTGGGAATGTTGGAAAAGGACACAGCAATAGGCCCAAAACAATTCCTTGGTTTTTTAATAAATATAATCTGAGATGCAAAAAATACTGCTAGAGTGGAGAAGCAGTATTGTTCTAATGTAGAAATCCCAGGGACATACAGCAGTGCACTAACCATAGGCGAATAGTCACTAAATTATACAAGAGTCCCATCTCGATTTTATTTTTAAATATTTTTGAGAATACCTATTATTATTTGTTACATTGAGTTTAATAAGGGTCTATTTATACTCCCTTAGTATTAGTATTTGTATTAGTATTATGATTAAGCATTAAATTTGTTAAATCATTAAAAAAAGGTATTTATACTCGTTTTATAATTAGTATTAGTAATTCTTTTTTAAACCTAATACCTAATAAGATATAATTCTGCAGTCAACAAAATATATGGTTACTGAAGAAATGTGTAAGAGGCCGGTTGTGTTCTTTTAAGATATTTGAGTTTTAAATGTGTTTTTATTAATAGTTTTACTAGTTAATTTTATTTAAAAATATTAATATTCAAAAATAGGTTTAATTAAGGACATTTTAACGGATTTAAGTCTCAAATTTATAACAGATAAAAAGAAGCAGAAATATGATACAAATCAGACAGAAAAGAGGCCTTTGCTTCCTCGTGGTGACATGTCATTTGTCAACTTTATAATCGGTAAACACTGCTGATACACAAAAATTGTATACATAGCATGATTTGTACCGAAATATTATCGTTTTCGAGCTTGTTGGAACAAACATATAAACAACATAATCATGTGTGTATTGTCAATTATCCTTATCCGTTGTCTATTAAAAACAAAGGCCAAATACGCCATTGATTCATTTTATAGAAAAGAAGAAATTTAATATTTAATTTAAAAGTTGAATCTGTCAATTATTAAGCATAAATATTAATGCTAATACTAATCATAAATCGAGTATAAATGTCCCCATTACATTGTGAAGGTTCAACTTAATGCTTAATCATAATACGAATGCAAATACTAATAATAAGGGAGTATAAATAGACCCTAAAACCACAGATTTCGAATGTATTGAAAGTTATTTAAAAAGTACCTCTATAAATATATAGAAAATGTGTATATGACTAACTGGTTTTATTAATCTTTTTTTGGGGTAGGTAAATATATATTTTGAAAAATTTACAAACTTCTTTTGAATTAAAGACAAAATATTTCTGTTTTTATTAACTGAACAATATTTTATACGAACATAATATATACCTATTTAAAAGAAAATATTAAATTTTACAAGTATCGCATATTTATATGAAATAACTAACTCAATAAGAAAGAATTAAATGAAACAAATTAATAAACAATGGATATGAAAAATTGCTATAACAATTTAATCCTTAGATAAACTTATTCTTACATATTGCTTTAATCAATTTATTTACTATAAAAGTATATTTCCTATCATTTATTACATATAATAAAATAAAGCATAAAACATACAAACTATAATATGTACCTACTTAGAACGGAACTAATATTATTGTATCAAGGTAGTAATAGTGGACATTTTCCGAATAAAAAAAAAGTAAAAAAGAAGTAACGGTCGACACGTTTTTCTGACTATTGGTCTTCATCAGTACGGTGCAGTCAAGTTCAAAGGATCATGGAACTTGTGTTGGAAAAATTGTACAATAGGTCACTAACAAGGAGCCAATAACACATTTGCCGTTTCAGCTAGTATCCCCAAATTTTCTGGGCTTATACTAAAGTCACAAAATGATTCAATGGTCTTCCTATGGTTATCAGTTATTCTTTCCTAACATTTTTTGGTATGCTACAACAAAACATACAAATTATTTGATTTTGTAAATACACAAATATTTGTGAAAACTTAGACATGAAATGTTATTCCTTCCTTGTATCTTCTACCGTTAGATGCATTGTAACATTCACGTACAAAACAAAAAGAGATTTTGAAAATCCTGTAAAAATTTAACACCAAACCACAAATGTTTTTTATTATAATAAAACACTAAACGACTAAACTAAAAAATAATGTTTTAAATAAAACCTTTACTAGAAGAACAAAATAAACAACACAACAGATAATAAAATCGATTATATTATATACGTCGAACGCCGATCTTACGCTTATTACTAAACTTGGGCCGATTCTGTCTTGTCAGTAGTGCCAACTTAAAATTTATTGACATTTATTTATCATGGCGCCCATCATATGGGGGGTCAAAATGTTTTTACGATGCGGTATCTAGACCTTCTGAGGGCTATGGTCGCAGTCTCAAAATAATTTTCGAAGTGTCAAAACGGTTCGCGCACTGACGTTTCCATAGGGGGTCGTAGGAAAACATTAATTCCTTTTGTAATTTGTTGGTACTCTTTGTGTTCTTAATTTTTTTGGTTCTCCGACAGTTCTTCAATCCTTCTCCCGTTGTGGTACTAAAATAGATGCAATTTAAAAAAAATTACCATACCCCAAAACGCGATCCAACCGATCAACAGATCGATCTACGGTGTCTGCGACGAAAACCCGAAATTCACTATGAATTACGAAACTTACGCGTACATAAGTACGATGTGAAACGTTTGTATTTCGCCGGCCGATACAATTTAAATCCGGTATTTCATTATTCCGAAGAGCATTATGCTGTCTGACCCATCACGGACTCGTCCTGTTAGCGAACCTGATTTATTCCATTTCGGCCAGCATTGTCTCTATACCGAGTGTTTTACATTCGGCGGTAAGCTCAT